TCATCCTGTGTTCATTGAGGGTCTAGTCATCCTGTGTTCATTGAGGGCCTACCCATCCTGTGTTCACTGAGGGTCTACTCACCCTGCTGCTGGGCCAGAGACCCAGCTGGCTATAGGAGCAGGTGGAATGACTTATTCAGGCAATCTAGAATTTAATAAATATGTTTCTCTGGACACTGAATGAACAAATATGGTGTCCATTCTTATACTGATATATTGACCAAGGTTTTATACAACCCTAGTTTGTTAAGATATTAATACATGTTCTTTAAAAAGAAAAAAGCCACAGTAGAGGGGCTATACTTATCATACATGTTTGGAAAATGTCGAGTTAAGATATAAAGCTAGATGTAGTGACACACGCCTTTCATCCCAGCACTCAGCAGATAAAGGCAGGTGGATCTCTTTGAATTCCAGCCCAGCAAGGGCGGCATAGAGACTCTGTTTGTCTGTCTGTCTGTCTGTCTGTCTGTCTGTCTAGATATAGACAGAGAGATAGAGATAGAGATGCTGTGATGCTGTCAGAGCTTTGCGTTCATTTTTAACATGCTAATGATGTACAGGCTACCCTTACCTCACTAATGGGCTACAGCCATAGTTTTTCAAAATGCACTGAATCTCAAGCCCTTCATAAACATGGGATCATTAGGAGTTGCTTCATATAGGACACTTTGGCCAAACACACTTCATAAAGTACACTTTGACCAATGCCAATCTATGCATAGACTGCTACTTTGTGTCTGAGTTTGTAAAGTGACTATCTTCATTTTAGCTATGCCCTCCCCCAACACACACACACGTACATACACACACACACACACACACACACACACCTGCTAAACAAAAGCTTTAGTCCACACCCAGCCTATTGCAGCAGACTGAAGGAACACAGTGTGCTCCTACCTGGTGTCACTTGCTAGTGTTATGTTGTTGGTACAGCCTGTAATATGCCTCAGGTTAATGATTATATTTGGTTTATATTGCCATCTAGACTGGTTAATTCCTTAATCCGTCTTTTTATGTGTTGCTAGATACTCTTACAAAATACCAGCATTTTTCTAATTCTACATACCATGATATCTGATTGCACGAACTCTCTTATAAAACGGCTAGGCTCTGGTGGGCATGGGTTTTATGTGCATGAAACGTGCCTTGTGAGATACAGCTTGAATGTCACCTCCTCTCTGACATGTTTGGGACTGAGAGGGTTTGGGATTTTACATTTGTATTTTGGGCTTTTAGGGTAATTGCATATATCATAATTAAGTATCCTGGAGGCAGGATCCAAATCTAGACACAGATTTTTTTTTATTATTGTTATATATACCAAACGGAGAGCCTGAGATTATTTCATATATTTTAAAACATCTTTTTTTCTTATGAAGTGGTCTCATGGCGCATATATATTTTTCCCCTCGTATCATTCTGACAGTGTTCAGAGCTGTCCCCATTTTGGAATACTTCAGTTTTCACAAGTTCAAGGCTGCAATTTGTCTTACATTTCATGCTCACTGTCCACGATGGAGATAAGTTTCTCCTGTGGCCTGGGATGAGGGAATTCCTTTGCCACTCCACCCTCCTGAGTGTGGATGATATTTCATGGCCTCTACTTTGCAGCTCCCAGAATGAAGACTCTTCCTTCCATTTCGATGGAAGCGGGTATGCAGTTGTGGAGAAGACGCTCCGGCCCACCGTGACGCAGATAATAATTCTCTTCAGCACCTTCTCCCCGAATGGGCTTCTTTTCTACCTGGCTTCAAATGGCACCGTAAGTTTCGGCAGCACTTGGCCCTCTATGTACAGAACCATTGCCTTGAGATTACCTATGTCTGCTGTACGTTTCCCTTGCCAGAGGTGAACAAATGTCCATTCACTCCAGAGAGCACACCCACGAGCAGAGTGATGCTTCCACTACAGCTTGCTAAGAGAAGCAATGAGGTTGGGGGTTCACTTACAGGAGAGCCAATGAGGTGTTAGTAACAGGTGAACAAGTTTGCAAGACCAGTGTAGGACCAAGAAGTCTCTCCCCAGCATGGGTGATGCTCCCAAACACCACTACATGTAGGCCCCTGTCAGTCAGTTCCACTCTTCATACGTACCCACCACCTAAGTCCACAGGAGCTGGGAGCATTACCTACAGGAGGGAGTAAACAGTAGAAGCAGGTGGTTGGCTGCAGTCGGGTAAGAGTCTCCATATTCTCTGAGAGGGCATCACCAACCTGATCTTGTCAAGGTCTCCGAGCCTGTTTCTACAAGCTCTTATCACTGTAATCTACTCACATATGTTGTCTAGGTTCTCATTTAAAGATTGCTTACCAATGAACACAAATTCAGGAAGAGCTATCAGGGAACACACAAAGGCAGATTTAGTAGAAGCAGCTCCAGTCAGCACAGGCGTCAGTCAAACACTTCCTGTTACACTTTAGTTGAGGTCATGTCTTGTTCTTTGTGTAACCATGGTGGACTTGCTTTTTTTAAAATTATTTTTATTGTTTTGTGTGTATGAGTAGTTCTCCTGTCTGCGTGTCTATGCACCATAAGTATGCTTAGTGACCACTGAGGCCAGAAGAGGGAATTAGATACCCTGGGACTGGGGTTACAGATGGTTGTGAGCTGTCAGGCAGGTGCTGGGAATTGAACACAGATCCTCTACAAGAACAGCCAATGCTCTTAAACCACTAAGCCATCTCTCTAGTCACCACAGTAGCTTCATTTGAATCTCATCTGCAGGCATGGTACCACTTTTTGTCTTGTATGATGGCCATTTTTAGAAACAGCCTACTCGTGAATTTAAACACAAAGCCCACCAAGACAGTCAGGTTCTCCTAACCTATGGATTTTGGTAACAACACATAGCAATTAGTTTAATTCTCAGTAATATTTCACAGAGCCGCTGGGGACATTTTTACTTCTATGTAACAGACTAGCTGTTTGACTAATGTTTATGTAACAATCCCTAGTTTGACCCTAAGAGTTTACTCCCATCCCTAACTTGGGTGGGAAAAAAATCTAGAGATAAAGACTCATCTGCAGAAAAGACTTCTTTCCTTCACAGAAGGACTTCCTGTCCATCGAGCTGGTCCGTGGCAGGGTTAAAGTGATGGTGGACCTGGGGTCAGGACCCCTCACTCTTATGACAGACAGGCGGTATAACAATGGAACCTGGTATAAGATCGCCTTCCAGCGGAACCGGAAGCAAGGTAGGTGCACGGGGTGAACCTCTAAGGTGTTGGCTGTCCCTCTAAGAACAAACTCCAAAACCAATGGTCATTGTGCTCCATTGGCTCCCTGCTGCATCTTAAGGATATCAGAACACATCACCCTCCACACGCAGCCACAGCTGCACTCTTGAGTGATATTTGATTGAAACCTACCTTTGCTTATGAGAAACAATGGGATCTGCCTACTGCCTACTGCCGAAGGAGTATAATTCCGTTTGTCCAAGGTTTCAATATTTCTCATTAAACCCAGAATTGGAAACAAGAATAGAATTCACCCTGTTTTCTTTTACGCACCTGCTGATACCATTCATCAGTGAGTGTTCTGGATCTGCCGACCTTTATCTCTGAATGGCAAAGAATGACATCAGCCAAGTTTGCAGGATTTAAAAGAGCATGCCCTCATAAATGAATATGTTGACAGAGGCTTATGTAGTGTTAACTGTCCCTCTCCTCACCTTCCGCTAGGACTGCTAGCTGTCTTCGATGCATATGACACAAGTGACAAGGAGACAAAGCAAGGAGAAACTCCAGGAGCTGCTTCCGACCTTAATCGGCTGGAGAAAGACCTGATTTACGTGGGTGGATTACCTCACTCTAAGGCTGTGAGGTATGATGTGAAACCATGGGGTGGTCGTGTGGAATTCCCAGGCCTCTCTGACCCAGTGTGTAAATGGTTCTCATGTCCTTGCCTCCAGGAAAGGGGTCAGCAGCAGAAGCTATGTAGGCTGTATCAAGAACCTGGAGATATCCAGGTCCACCTTTGATTTGCTGAGAAATTCCTATGGAGTGAGAAAAGGCTGTGCACTGGAGGTAGGGACCAACAGTGGTCATGGGGGTCTGGAAAGGTTTCCATAGGTGCCTGGTGGTTTACTGACATAATAAAGCCACAAGCTCTCAACCTGAGGGTGGGCAAGATGCAAGCGAGGCAGGCAGTCCCACAGCGGCAGGCCAACCTCACTCTGCTCTCCCCTCTGTCACCAGCCTATCCAGAGTGTGAGTTTCCTGAAAGGTGGCTATCTAGAGATGCCACCCAAGTCTCTATCACCAGAGTCATCCCTGCTGGCCACATTTGTCACCAAGAACAGCAGTGGAATCATCCTGGTTGCCCTTGGCAAGGACGCGGAGAAGGCTGGTGGTTCTCAGGCACATGTGGTAAGTAGCTGTGGCCCATGGAAGTAGAAATGGTCTAGAAATGTGTGTGGGGGCTGGGCAGTGGTGGCACACTCCTTTAATCCCAGAACTTGGGAGGCAGAGGCAGACAGATTTCTGAGTTCGAGGCCAGCCTGGTCTACAGAGTGAGTTCCAGGACAGCCAGGGCTACACAGAGAAACCCTGTCTCCAAAAAACCAAAACCAAACCAAAACAAAACAAAAAGTGTGTATGGAATTTCTTCCTCACACATTTACTGTAGCTGCTTACAAGAGATTATATACATGTGCTTTTTAAATTAGTGAATGAAAGTTATTACTGCTGAATGATCTGCTCATGGACCCAAGATTTCCTGAATCATATGATCAATATTCCACTTCGTTCTAGTCAGGGGAAGTGTTGCTCTCAGACTAAAACAACTCCTCAGGGCAGAGGCCGGGTTTCCCTCCATGTGCAGTGCTTGTGACAGAGTGAAAGTTCTTCCCTTACATTCTTTGGGGGAGGGGAGGATTTGTTGTTGTTATAAGTGTGACTGGGAGGAGACAGACAGACATGTCCTGTGACAGGTGCCCAGTGGCAGAAGAAAACAGAGAAGACATTTTCTCGAGTTTGATTCCCCACAAGAGGGTGCTGTGCAATCAGATAACTTAGGGAAAGGTTGGAGAACACTAGTACGTGGTCTTGATGAAGGAGAGGCCGCACACATGCAGCTCACAGAACAGTGTGCCCTGCCTGCCGCTCAAGACATGGCTGTGTAGTACCATCATGCACCCTGCATGGTGGATACTGACTCCTAAGCTTTATGGGGCAAAAAAAAAAAAAAGGTTCAGAGAACCTGATTGAGCAGCCCAAGTTCATGTGGCAGTTATGTGTCAGAACCAAGGCTGGGATACCAGTCTGTGGACCCTGAGTATGGCATGGGTCCCTTTACCAAGGGCTGAGAGGGACTGGGATTGGTTTTGTGGATTTCATTAATCCAGTTTTTAGTTGAGGTGAAATTCATTCCAAATTAAGCACTTTCAAGTGAAGTGTTCACTCAGTAGCTCTTAGTGCGTTTGATGAAGTCACTTCAACAGCTTGTCCTGTTGAGTCATATACACACTGTTGTCTTTTACAGTTGTTACTTGGTGTGCCTTCAGGTTCCATCCACATTTTATTACATATTTAGTTTGCTTTACTCCTTTCTATCTCCCTGCCTTTCATTCTGGGGCTCTGAGGAACACTTCTGTAAGACCCTGTGTGTGTGTGTGTGTAATGTTGGTTTTCGGCCTTTCCTGCCTGCCTTCTGGGCATAAGCCTTTGGATTTCTGGTGAGAGAGTAGTTCTGAGTTTTACCATTTGAGGGAGATGCTTAATCTCTTTCCTTCCACCCATCGTGATAGGGTTACACATGAGTGGCAGCTGTCTTACAAGCCAATGGAAGGAGCGGTGAGTCTGATGTCAGTAAGGGCATCGAGAAGCACGGTTCAGGTCTGAGGCTGCCAATATAAACTGCTGTGCTTCTTCTCAATGTTACAAGGAAGTTTTAGGAACTTTAAACATCTTCAGGCCCTTCTAGCCCTTAATGCCATTTCCAGATATGTTAGAAGTAATCCACAGGCCCAAGGAAAATTGAATTAAGAGGTCCCATATACAGTAATAGAAAATTAGAAGTTTCTTAAAATTAATTCAGTGAAAAAAATTAGTCTTCTGCATCAGTAAACAGCAAGCATGGGGCTTTGCAGAAGTAGAAATGTGTGATAGGACCAAAGGGCCAGCAACAGCAGGTGGCAGAGTAATGCAGATCGGAGTGGAGTACATCATATCCAAAAAATACTATGACTGATGGTGACCCACCTAGGCATTTGCTTGCCTTGTGTCAACGGGCCTACATTATCTGTACAAGGCGGAAAGCGTTCCAGACCCTTCAGTGATATGTTTTGTTTTGGAAAATGTATCTTTCCAGCCCTTCTTTTCCATCATGCTGATTGAAGGCCGCATTGAAGTACATGTCAATTCTGGGGATGGGACCAGTCTGAGGAAGGCCCTCCTGCATGCTCCCACCGGCTCCTACAGTGATGGACAAGAACATTCCATCTCCTTGGTTAGGAATCGGAGGTACTAAGATCCCGGGGTTGTGTCAGGTCAGGAGGCTGAGATGAGCTTGGGGGAGCTCCTTAGTCTGTCAGACAGGTATGACTGACTCCTGCTGTGATTGACACCCAGTGTGACTGGGATAGTTGGCCCAAAGTCATTAGCAGTCATAGTTCTTACTGTTTCAAATGGTAGAACTCTACCACAGAGTCAGCTGTCTTCTAGCTTGTAGTGATGTGTTTATGAAATTTTCATAGTTGAGAACCTTAGCTTTGCCCTGTATTTACGCCCGATATAAACTGCTTACAAACTGGATGAATTTGGTGGTAAATAGCAGGCTGCTTCTGGTGAGCAGCACTGTGCTAGCAGTAAACACCGTCCTACCAATGTTCCTGTGTATTTCCATCTGCAACTGTAGGCCTTGTGTTTGAGGAATGCTGCTGGATGTTTTCATAATAGCTAAAAAAAAAAAAAAAGGTGTTTGAATACACACCCTTATCTCTAATAATCAAGCTTGGTGAGATATTCATAGATTTTATCTTTGATGTTAGATGTTGAGCTCCAGGTTTCCATTTTTTGGATTCATATACAATCCCATGCCAAAATTTATCTGGAGGAAAAAAAAATATCATTCCAAAAGAACTTGCTAGAATTTCATATGAAAATGGAGTTCTTCGTTATACTTAAAGAGCTTGTTTTCTCCTTTGCTCTGATAGAGTTATCACCATACAACTGGATGAGAACAGTCCTGTAGAAATGAAGTTGGGTCCATTAACAGAAGGAAGGACAATCAACATATCCAACCTGTACATAGGGGGACTTCCTGAGGACAAGGGGACCCCGATACTCAGGATGCGGAAATCATTCCATGGGTGTATTAAAAACGTGGTCCTCGATGCCCAGTGAGTGTGACCGGCTCTCATCGTGTTCTTCTGCTTTGTCATCTGCCCTCTGAGTTGGCTGGGGTTGGGGGGGGGTGTTCTCCAAGCTCTCCTTGACCTATCATGACAGTCTCTCCCAATGGATCTTATAGAGTCAACATGGTGGTCAGATCTGACCATCAAATTGTATGTAAAGAAAAGCCATCATTGGCTGCCTTTGTGTATATGGTATGGAGCATTGAGTTGGACTTTAATGCATGTTGGGCAGTTACTCTACCTCTGAGCTGTATCCCCATCCTTAAGGGTACCTCTACGAGAACCCAACTGGATTGCTAATAGCTACCTCTTATTCATAGCTTCCCCAGAGACAGTTGCTATATGGTTAAATTTTGCAAGTCTCCATTCTCTGTGAAGAAGAGAATTATTATGTGCACAGATGGCCATTCATTCCTCCTCTCCCAAGTTCTAGTCACATTGGAATAGCGGAGAAAGTTGTATCTGAACCTACAGGCCAGCATCTGCTCACAGGAAATCACAACAGGCTCAGTAGGAGGAGACACTGATTCCATCCTTTCTAGGCTGCTAGAGGGACTTCCTGAGGACAAGGGGACCCCAATGCTCAGGATGTAACCTTGAGAGGTGGCAGAGGTCTTTCACAATCACTGTGACCTTCTCTGGGAAGTGACCTTCTAAGAGTCCCTGAACAGAGCAAGAGTAGGCCTGTGGTTTCACAGACTCCAGTACAAGAGCAGAGCCTTACTCATGTATCTGTAGATTTATATACAGTCACCAGTTGCTCATCCACCCCTGTACTGATGAGGCAACTTCATGCTCCTAAAAGGCACAAGGCTCTGGAATGTATAGTTGGGTACAGCTTTGGGAGGTACCAGTTAAATCCAGGCTGCCACCGGAAACCTGGCTAGAGCTTCTAAGTAGAGAGTCCATGACAAGCACATCTCAGAACCAAGAGCCAATGTTAAATGGAAACTGCTGCCCAGTGGGGTGGGGACCAGAGACTCGTTGACCTGATAGCCTAGCCTACAGCAGGTGACAATCTTGACTGTACTCTGAGCTCAGGAACATCCAGGTTACTGGCATTGTCCTGGTTTAGGGATGTATATTTATTTTAATCAGAACCAAACAGAAAAATGGTATGTCCATGTGACTCAGGCACTGAGGGGATGGTTAGCTTGGTTACCCTAAGAGGAATGAATCAATGGTTTCAAATGGGATCTAATTACCCATTTTAATCAAATGATTGGGCTCCCAAGCTCCCCCATGGTATTTTCATCCCAATGTTCTCTCATTTGTCTGTAGACTTTTGGACTTCACCCATGCAACTGGCTCTGAACAAGTAGAACTGGACACATGCTTGCTGGCAGAAGAGCCCGTGCAGAGCCTGCACAGAGAACACGGGGAGCTCCCTCCAGAGCCCCCAACCCTACCACAGCCTGTAAGCATGACATCCTTCAATGACATCATCCAGGTCTGGTCAGGAAGAAAGCTACATGCTAGGGGAAGTAGACTCAGGCAGATAGAGTCTGAGAAAGCCAAAGAAACTGGAGCCAAGAAGCATTGGGAACCCGGAGTCAGGGCAGCTGGAGAGAGGCAAAGAGAGCACACAGAAAGAGTGGAACTGAGACCCAAGAGGGCACTCAAGCTGGGAGTGAGGGGAAGTGAGCCAGGTGTGTCCTCTGCCCGCCTCCCAGTTCCTTAGCTGTACCTCAGATGGAAGAATATCTAAATATTGTCTCTGGAGACTGGGAAGGGGCTTTAAGGATCTGATAGACAGCTGGCAGGGATAGGGCAGAAGCTCTTGTCTGTGGGTGACTCCAGATCAGCGCCTCAAGTGGTTAGCGCCCCAGGAGAGCTTTGGTAGAGTTTCCCTAAGGCCCCCGTAGGGTGTGAGATGAGATTTAGGTGAGGAAGCATGAGAGTAAGCACATAGCTGAACCACTGTGTGTGCTTCTGTGTTCATGGTCAGGCGTTTGGTCCATTAAGGAAAATATGGTCATGACTCTTCAATTTTCTTCCCTTCCAATTTCTCAGAAGATGGTGTGAGGTTATCCTAAGGAACACCGTCTCTGCAGGGCCCAGGAGTTCGGGACAGTTGTATATGTCTACCTTAAGCCACTTAACAGTCTTGGGATCCTGTGTAAGACAATGTAGAGGCAGCCAGCACTGCCAAAGGCCTTGCCCTGTGCTCCTGGCTTCTGGCCAGGGTCCGGGGGCCCTTCAAGCCCAGTTTTTCTTTCCCTTTCCAGCACCTAGTATATGAATGTAAGGCCCTGTGAGACCTGAGGGCACTGTTGTCTCCCTGTGGTGTCTCGGCTGTGGATGTCTTTTGGCCACAGGTGTCCTTGGGCCATCCTCATGATCCCTAAGGCCCAAGGAAGTCTCATGTAGGAACTCCTATATCTATTTGAGGGATTGTGAACTTGAGTGATGGTGAAAAATGGCAGGAAGCTCAGATTGCTCTCTGGAGAGAAAGGTGCTGAGGGGTATGTAGTTTAGGACAGAGTGAAACCACAGTGGTGGCAGCTGCTGTTCTGACACAGTGGCTTCTGGAACATTTCTTTTATGGAAGAACATGTCTGTGTCAATGGAGTCCTGGCTACACTGGCTCAGGGTCCCTATGCACCCCTTACAGGTATTGTGCGCTGTTGACATGGCTCCGGGGTATGTGGCAGGTGCTCACCAGTTTGGCCTCTCGCAGAACAGCCACTTGGTGCTCCCTCTCAATCAGTCTGACATCCGGAAGAGGTAAGCATTTTCCTGAGGTCGCTCTGAGGTTCCTGTTACCAGATGATAAGGAAAACGTGGTGTTAGCTTCTGAAATAAGCAAATTTGCTCATACCAGACAGGCTCAGCATCCACATGGATCCAGGTAAGGATCTCATCTATTTCAGACCCCTAATGACAACGTTCTCTTCATTGTCCTAAAACAAGTGAAGGCTCTGCTGGTGATCTGCCTAGGAGTCTTGCTCACTTTTTTTGTCACTCAGAGGTCAGCTAAAATGTCATCTTTTCAGAGTTGCCCACCTGAACTACTTTCTACAGCAACCAGTGGGCCTCTCTGTGACGTAGTACAATGCTGATGTAGTTCTAGCCTTGGTTTCAAGGTTTCAGGAATCCCTTCTCAGTCTTAGAACATTCCCATCAGCCATCTGTGCCACAAATGGGAACACCTCCTCTCTCTGGAGATTGTAAGGGCAGCATATGATAAAGCAGCAATGGGTTCTCTCCCGGAGGTCACGTTAAACGATGGAAACTGACCTTCCCGGTCCCTGGTGCTGAGTTGCTGTTCCTCCCTCAGGCTCCAGGTGCAGCTGAGGATCCGGACATTCGCCTCCAGTGGTCTCGTTTACTACGTGGCTCATCAGAACCAAATGGACTACGCCACACTCCAGCTCCAAGAGGGCCACCCGTACTTCATGTTTGACCTCGGCAAGGGCCGAACCAAGGTCTCCCACCCTGCCCTCCTCAGTGATGGCAAGTGGCACACGGTAAGTTCTCAGGAGGCCCTGGGAAAGTTTGGGAAGTCTCCTGACTCAAACTTTCTCCCTGTGTCTGTGGTGGTGTTTTCATTTTCTTGAATCTGTGCATTTTGACCCCTTGCTGTCTTTATGTTTGACATCTCCCCGAAACGATGTAAGCATCTTGTCAGCAGGGCCCTGTTCCACTTCCTGAATCCCTCCAGACACTTGTTCAATGTTGAACACCCAATAAACACACAACAGCTGGCGATAGAATGAGTCAGAAGTCTCAAAAATGTTCTTGACTTGACAAGATACCAGTGCCTTAGGGTTTCATTGCTGTGAAAAGATACCATGAGTACCTACGGCAACTTTATAAAGGGAACCACTTCATCGAGGCTGGTTTACTGTTTCAGATGTTTAGTACATTATCATCATGTCAGGAAGGATGGCAGTGTGCAGACATGGTGCTGGAGAACGAGATGAGAGTTCTATATCTTGATCCACAGGCAGCAGGGGAAAGACTGCCACACTAGGCCTAGCCTGAGCATATGAGACTTCAAAGCCCACCCCCACAGTGACACACTTCCTTCAAGAAGGACACACCTCCTCCAAGAAGGGCACACCTCCTAGTAGGGCCACTCCTTATTTAAACACATGAGTCTATGGGAAGCATTGCTCTTTAAACCACCACAAACAGTGGCCTGAAAGGACTGAGCTGCTAATCAAAGCATCTGCTTATAACCAGGGCTCTGAAGCTGTGCAGTAAAATGTCCCCATTGCTACCAGCCTCAGTCTATTCTCTGAGGCAGCATGCCGCAGGCATAGCCATCCTACAGGGTTTAGTCTGGGCTCTCACTGATCTAAGGGACAAGTCCTAAGCACACCTCTGTTACGTTTCTCTCAAATGGTTTGCAAATTCTGTGTGTTTTCATCTCGTGTAGGTCAAGACGGAGTACATCAAAAGAAAGGCGTTCATGACCATTGATGGCCAAGAGTCCCCCAGTGTGACCGTGGTGGGCAATGCAACCACACTGGATGTGGAAGGGAAGCTGTACCTCGGAGGCCTTCCTGGTCACTACAAGGCCAGGAACATTGGAACTGTAAGCAGCGGCTTGTGTTTTCGTGGAAGACCATCATTCTGTAATGCTCTTGTCTGAGTTATTCCGCATGAGCCTGGGCTCACTAGATCCTTTAAAGATCGTATGTAGGTCATGTGGTGTGGCTTTTCCATAGAGTTTTTCCTGCCTCATGGCTAATGAGCTTGCCCTTTTCTGAAGCCATTTAGCCCCCAAGCATCTTGGGAAAAGCCCAGCAAATTTGTATGTGTACGTTATTGAGAGAAGCACTCTGGATTCAAGCAGTGTTTTAGTAAAATAAATGGTAGAAAACACTTCCAGGGTGTTATCACTGAAGCACCAGATTAACAGAGCAAAGAGAGTGTTGATGTGCGGAATTGCCACAGTTAAGCTTTAGAGACCGGGACGCTGTCATCATGTGTGCTATTGAGGGAGGCTTAATGAAGCACAGGAAAACTATATCCTGTCACATCATCATCTCTACCTGCTCTCCTGTCTCACTCACTTTAGATCACTCACAGCATCCCTGCCTGCATTGGGGAAGTGACTGTTAACGGCCAACAGCTGGATAAAGACAAGCCCGCGTCTGCCTTTGCTGTGGACAGGTGCTATGCGGTAGCCCAGGAAGGAACTTTCTTTGAAGGAAGTGGATATGCAGCTCTTGGTATGTGCTGTTAGCAGCCTGGAAAGAAGTCCTTGGGTTTAGTGTGTGCTCTGAGGTGGTGTGGGTCCGTCTCTGATAGGATAAGATCCTGCTAGAGAGGCTGCCTAAAGCCGTGTTTGTTTATTCAGTGTGCTGGACTGTGCCTAACTGTCTTGTCCCAGGCAGATGGCCAGGGCACATTCCCTGCCCAGGTTAATAAAGACCCTTGGATTAAAAAGCAGGTGTGAGCACCTGTGATTCCAATGCTCAGAAGGCTGAGGCAGGAGTATCCCAAGTTGCAAATCAATCCGAATAATAATGATAGCGTGTCTTTAAAAATAAGAACACGGAAGACTGAGAAGAACCAAGGCTCTGGCAGGGAACATAAATGCAATGGGGTGCTCAGTCTGCCTTTTAGCCCAAGGCATGGTAGCAACTGCTCTCTAGAGCCTATATTTATACAATAGTGATGCCCTCCAAGGTACATATAAATTAAGATGCTGACAGAGAAAGACCAACAAGCTGGATGTATGTATCCAGGGCCCAAGTGACCAGATACAGATGAAAGGAGTCCCTGCCCAAGCTCTGTTCTGGTTTGTGACTGAGCAACTTCTTCAAAAGCAGTCTTTCTACCTGGGCTTGGTCATGCACACCTGCAGTTTCAGCACTCAGGTGGCAGAGGCAGGAGGATTGAAAAGTTGGTGGCAGTCTGTTGGCATAGCAAGTTTCTGCCTTAGAACAAAAACAAAAACAAAAAAAAGAAGTGATTCTTCTTACGAGTGCACTGAAGCCTGGGGGATGGGTGGGAATGCATCTGGATCCAGGTCTTGAACTTGGCCAGTACCATCTATGAGTGCTTGCCCAGCCCAGCCCTGTCTAGCCTGTGGGTTCTCACCATGGCAGTGCTGCCTTGTGTTTTTCAGTCAAGGAAGGCTACAAAGTTCGATTGGATTTAAATATCACACTGGAGTTCCGTACTTCCTCGAAGAATGGCGTCCTCCTGGGAATCAGCAGTGCCAAAGTGGATGCCATTGGCCTAGAGATTGTAGATGGCAAGGTAGGTGGTCCAGCTCCAAGTCCTACCCACCCTACCAGAGGCAGAGCAGGAAAGAAGTGGAGAAATGCCTAGATTCGAGTTTCTTATTATCTACTTCATTAATGGAGACAAAAGAAATTTCCTTTACTATTTTAAAATCAGACAGTCCTAAAAAGCTATTTTCAGAGTAGCTTCTTTTCATATATTTGAATCAAAATGGCATCTGTAATGCCAAGGCGTTTCTGCCTGCACTTTACCAGGAATAACATGTTCATATAGTGCCCAGTCTCTTCTGATAATTTTAACTATTCATTTGTAAATAAGCAGAGTCACACAGGATTGCAGTGATATGAACACACGTGTCCCCATGCACCCACCCCCAGGATTCTCGTAGTCAGGTCAGTCACAGCCCACACTGATTCCCCGTGGGACAGCACCACAACCCAGAGAACATCATAAGATGGACCACTTGTGCACCTGCCTGTATGCAAATAAAACCATTGCCACCATCAAGATCCATGGCGACCATGGCATTACCACCAGACTCTCCCACCACAGTGCTTCTTGGTAACCACAGCCCCAGGCTCTGCCTTCCTCACCTTCAGCAGTCACTCATCTGTTTCCATCTCTCAAATGTCACTTTAGAAATGTTACATGCTAAGTTCATGCAGCATGGTATGGTCCTGAAAGACCAGGCAGGTTGTGTATAGCAGAAGTTATTTCTCATTACAGAGTGTTACTTTGAGGGTTGACTATATTGTACTTCGGTTTGTCTTTTTTGATTTAATTTTTTTTTTATATAAGTCTGGTGCTCTTGTATCTCAACCTCCCATGTCCCCTTCATGCTGGAAGCCAAGTGAGTGTAAACTTTTATAGCATATCCATCTTTTGCTGTGTGGTTGTCTCCTCCATAGTTGCTCTGGCTCCTTATCCTCCCTTTTTTCTCCTTTGGGGCCATGTGTACAGCACAGGCAAGAAGCACATGGAGGGCCATCTGGGGTCCCCTCTCAGGATGTCTCATCCATGGCTACAGTTCAGTTAGTCTCCTGCACTTGGTCTTCAGGTGGTTCTCATACCTTTGGCTGTCACCACAAGTGGCTTGGAGTCTCAGTGTTGCCACTGGGTGGGGACTCCTCCCAGACCCTGTACATTTCAACTCTTGGTGACTAGTCTTCCCAAGTGAGCTACCTTCCATTCCAATGCCTTGCAGGAGAGAATTGGGCATGTATGCTATACCATGCTTAAGCCACAGAAACCATGGATACTGGAGTCTTGGGTTGCCCTCTCCTGTAATGCAGTTGTCCACCAGGAGTGAGATGGTGGAATCTTCCTTTCGGAAGGCAAAAGCTATGGTATCTCTCCAATTCACGTGCTAAAGTCCTACCCACTAGCATCTCTCAGGGTCTGATCTTATGTGGGATTTAAAGAGGCAATTGGGAGCTAGTGAGATGACTTACCGAGCATACATGCCTGATGCTCATACTAATGACATCAATCTCCAGGACCCATAGGGACAGAAAGAAAGAGAAAAAAAAAATCCTGCATTGATTTCTACATGCTCAGACATGGGCACATGCACACACCCTCACAATAAATAAATGTAAATAAATAATAACTCAGTTAAAATGAGGTCACTAATGTGGGCGCTGTGAACCAAACTGACTGTGGACACAGACACACAGGAGACCAGTTGAAGGCTCCTTGGAAGCTCCCATGCACTTACTTGCTTGGTTTTAGTATTTTCCTTTCCAGGTCTTGGCTCTCAGGATTGCCCACAGTGGGGTCAGAGGACACTAGCAAGTTTCCGTTTGCCTTGCCCTTTACTTCCCCTCCTCCCGCTTCAATTAAAAAACAAAGCAAAGCAAAACAAAACAACAAAACAAAGCAAAGCAAAACAAAACAAAGCAAAACCCTACTTCCATAACAGATTGCTGCCTCAATGCTGTGGTTTAGAGCCAGCTTTTCTTCTCATCCTATATTTTAATTTAAAAAAAAAAAAACAAAAAAAACCTACCTTCTATTTACAAGTTTTTCTGTGATATCTTGAAAAAAATTATCAGAGTGTGAAAGCTATGAAAAATGTAATTTTCAATTGTGTTCTACATTTTACTTTTTTATTGTGTTCGATATAGTATTATTTCTTATACTCTTTGAACTTTATTTAGTGTTCTTTCCAAAGCCCTGCAATACACACCTTTAGTGTATTACTGTGTGCTCTGAGAGGATGGTCTCCTACGTGTTTGGTCCCAAAGAAACTTGAGACAAATGCTAACTGTAATGCCTGCTGACTTACCAAAGCACAGGCTGACCTCCAGGCTCACTCAGAACCTGTGGCTCCCCTCAGCTCTTCTCAGCCCACTCCTACCCTAAACTTCTCCAGCCCTTGGGTTTCCCTTCCCCAGCTTCTGATTCCTATATGGCCCTGTCACTGAGGTCATATATCTACTCTCCTGGCTCAGTCTACTGGTCATATTTAGTCTTCTACTTTCTTCTGTCTGCTCTGGACTTTCCCAGATGCCTCTGGCTGTATTCATCCAGTCAGCCATACCTTGGAGTGGTCATGTCTACAGATTTCCACACTAGGCAGCATAGGAAACTTAGAACAGCATACTTGAATTCTTCTCACCTCTCTCAGTCATCCTGAAATGGCAGAATCATGTAAACACAAACATTGACCCACCCAGCTCTGGAGGCTGGAAGTCCAAGGCTTGGTAGGGTTGATTTCTCCTGAGGCCTCACTCCTTGGCCTGTGCATGGCTATCTTCTCTTCACATTGACTTTTCTCTGTGTGCCTGTGTCCTGATGCCTCTGATAAGGACAAAGATAGGGTTAAAGTTCACCATAGTGACCTCATTTTAACTTAACGACCTCCTTAAGGTCCCCATATCTGAATGTCATCATATCCTGAGGGATATTAGAGGTTAGAACTCCAACATGTGAACAACTTTTGGAGTGACACCAATCAGCCCAGACTGAACCCCTCTCTGTCCTTTTTGAAGCCCTGGCTTTTTGTTTGCCGCTCAATGTCATGGAGCACCTGTGCTTGGTCAGGGGAAGTTAGCGAGTGACCGTGCATAGATACAGTCCATGCTCAGCCTCTGGGGAAACTGAAGACTTTTGAAAATGTCCTTCAGTGCCCTGAGAAAGGAGCACTGATTTCAAAACTGTGGGGGCTGGGATGGAGTCCAAGTCCTTTAGGAGGTGATCATCTAACCATCATTGTTTGTCATGGTCATTGTTCCTTGTCTCCAGAATCCTATGCGTTCTCTGCTCTGAGAACAATTCGTGAATGTGCCGTGCTCCATGGCTTCTTGGCCTTCTGGCTAAGATCCAGTGCAGAAAGGCAGAGGTCCCAAATATAGAAAAAACTCACCCAAATATTTGCTTTATCCAGGTCTTATTTCACGTCAACAACGGTGCTGGAAGGATAACAGCCACTTACGAGCCCAGGGCCACCAGAGCTCTCTGTGACGGGAGATGGCACACGCTCCAAGCCCAAAAAAGCAAGCACCGCATCGTCCTGACTGTGGATGGGAATGCCGTTAGGGCTGAAAGCCCCCACACCCACTCCACCTCGGCGGACACTAACGATCCCATCTATGTGGGTGGCTACCCTGGTATGTGTCACTCCCGGTTTGGTGTATCTACACTGGGCGGCTCAGTCCCAGCGAGGTGTGGGCGCAAAGGATTATGGGGTAGAGATTGAAAGATGCACAGGGAGCTCAGTCGGCGAGGTGTGGGCGCAAAGGATTATGGGGCAGGGATTGAAAGATGCACAGTTTAATGACAAGTCCCACCATTTTAGACAAGCTGTTTGAAGTACCGTACCTAAACTTTCTTGGCATATTTCGGGGCAATTTAGCATGACTCTGTCACATACAACTTTCTCACTGAGAACATTGGCTCTGTGGTGATGTAAGCTGGAGGATCCCACGTTTGCCCTCGATGATCTCAAGGTTGGAGTCTAGGTCAGGGATAGACTGGATTCATACTCCTGCAACCAAATTTGCATCTGAGATATGTCCCAAGAAATTATTGCAGATCCTCAACACCTTTTCAAGTCCCAACTATGCCTTCAAGTCACCTGCCTGTTAAAAGTTACCAGGAATTCCGCTATCCACTAAACCCACATGTGTGGGAAGCATTCTGACTTGAGGGTTTGGTTGAGATCACTTTTGTCTCTAATGTGCAACTTACCCTATCTCAAACAAAACTAAGCAACACTTGTCTCTCTCTCCCTGAACAGCCCACGTCAAACAGAACTGCCTGAGCAGCCGGGCCTCGTTCCGGGGCTGTGTGAGGAATCTCAAGCTGAGTAGGGGCTCACAGGTGCAATCCTTGGACTTGAGCAGAGCCTTTGACCTACAAGGGGTCTTCCCTCATTCCTGCCCCGGGCCTGAGCCCTGAACTGCCGCCAGACTCTTCCCTTGGAATCATCACCATCTTCTGTTCCCATTCCATTTCCAGCTCAGGTTACATTTCCAGAGGAAAAATGCTGTATTTATGTTGAACTAAAGCCACATGGACAACAGATACCTCTATTAAACGGTCTAAAACGTTAGTGGAATCCGTGGTCTCCTTTTCTGAGTTTTTCAGATGGAACTTTGTGGGCGTGGGATTTTCTGCTGAAGGCTTGATAGTGTTGGCTGGTTTGCGTTTTGAGCATAAAAATTAAAATGTCACAGGAGGCTGTATTAGATTACAGCACAGTATGGATAATTTCATTTTTTTTTAAAGTTTCATACACTGGGTAGAAATTGGGACCTGAGTACATCCTAAGTCGGTTTCTTAGCCAAACTTTATTCAAAGGCTGACAATAGGATCCAGAGCCTAAGGCATGTTGTATTACAAGGTTTGGGATATAATTTAATGCCTCTCGACACAAGCAACCGGGAAAATGGGACTGATTTTCTAAGGACATAGCATCAACAAATGTCAGTCTGGAGAGGGGACGTGTCAGGAGGCTCCCATTTCTTTTCGTTAGCCACACCTGTATGTAGCCCAGTCCGGCCTTGAGCACACTTCATAACCAACACCAGCTTCCCTTTCCAATTCCCTCAGCCTCCTCCCTGACCCCTCCATGCCCGGCAGTAGACGTTAAATGGTTGTCTCAGCTTGTCTTTCTGGCACCTTTGTGCCTATCGCAAGGACGTGAAAGCTGCTATTTTTACCCGAGAGTTAGGAGGACAAGGGAATTATGTGTGTTTTCTGTGAATGAAGTGATGGACAATTTAACAGAGAAACAGAAAATATGAGAAAGGACAAAGTGAAAGTTCTTTATCTTATTTATTTAGTTAGTTAGTTTTACTTTTTGAGCAAGGTGTCACTACTACATCGCCCTAGCTGTTCTGAAACTCACTAGGTAGAGCAAGCTGAGATCCAACTCCGAGATCCTGCTACCTCTGCCTCATCAGAGCTGGGAATAAAGGTGTTTGCCATCACTCCTGGCCAGCAAACAAAGTTCTAAGGGTTCAAGACTCATACTTCAGCATAATAAAGCTAAACATGGCCAACCCACAGGCAATATCATACTAAATATTGAAATATGAAATCACTCCTTTAAGAGCTGGAAGAGACAACTACTGAGTCTATTCCCACTATTCCTAATCAATACATGGTAGAAGTCTTACCCTATCAGTTATGTAAGCAAAAAAGGATAAGGGGCATATAAACAGGAAAGGAGACAGTCAAACTACCCTATTTTGTAGGAAAACAAAGGTCTACCAAAACACTATTAAGAGAGATGAATTCAGTAATGTTGCAGGTTATGAAACCAACATGTGAAAATCAGTAGTTTTCATCCCAGTAACAAGACTCATGAGGGAAAAAAAAAAGTGTGAAAATAATCCCATTTACAATTGCTACCCCAAAAAAGGAGGGGAGGGAGAGAAACGGGGACTAAGGGGTAGAAGAGAAAGGAGAGGGAGAAGCAAGGATAGAAGAATCCAAAAGTCTAGGAGGAAGATTGAGTAAAGACTTGTGTTAAACAAATCAATGCTCACAGAAGAAACTGAAGAAGATACCCAGAAACCTACTCAAAGACAGAGTCCTCCCACGTTGGAAGTGGGAGAATTTATATTGACTAAACAACAACAACAAAACCCTGTATTATCCAAAGTAACTTTGTATTAATGCAGCCTCCATTAAAATACCCACAACATCCTTCACAGAAGTAGAGGAGGTAATTCTGAAAAGCATATACAGAAACACCCAAGAGTTGCCCAAGCAATCACTTTTTAAAAGATTTTCTTTTTTATTGATGTGTGTGTTTCTGTCTGTGGGTGCGTGAATCGGGAAGAAGGTCTCAGAACCCCCCCGGTAGCTGGAATTAGAGGTTCAGAGATCTAAGATGTGGGTACCAGAAATTGACCTCAGGTCCTTTGTAAGAGTTGCAGGCACCTTTGACATGGAGCCATCTCTGCAGGCCTGCAAAGCTGGAGAAAAAGACCAAACCTGAGGTCATTATAATGCCTCACTTTGAGCAGTACTAAGAACTGTTGTCACCAACACTGACATACAAACCTACCTACCTGTTGCACTAATTTTCACCCCCAATAAACCCTTATAAAAAACCACACAATCAATTTATTATATTTATAAGCTTCAAGTCTAGATTTAGGCAGCTCTATCACCCCTACTAACCACTTCCACAGCTATGAGAACCTTGTTGCTTGCAATTTCTCCCAGCCACATGGTTCTGCTCCATCTTCTCTTCTTCCTCTTCCTCCTCTCATCCTCTCTCCCTGTCTCCCTGACCTCCTGTCCCACCTCTTACTTCTACTGCCCAATCACAGGCTCTAGCCTTTATTTGACCAGTAAAAATGAGCAAAAGATTCACATGATATCACCTGAGTATGTGAGTGACTGAAGCCCCTCTCGAGGAAGCAAAATTAATATCAGAACCTACCCATCTATAGCCATTTCTTGGTAAGAGTAAAAAAAAAAAAAAGGTATGGCACAAAAACAACCTTCTTCAATAAATGGCACTGGGGAAATTGTACATTAACATGAGAAATACAGAAATTTGACTTTTAACTGTAATGCTATACAAAACCTAACATGGACCAGATACCTAAATGCAAGGCTTAAAACATGGAGGAGACACTTCAAGATGAAAGTATAGACAATGGATTCAAGTGTGGCCTGGAATATGCAGGAAGCAAAGGAGAAAACGTGATTACAGAAAACCAAAAAGCTTCCCACAGCAAACCACAAAGACGACGGGAGAAAATATTTGCCAGCCGCTTAGCAGACAAAGGATTGCTATCAGTGACACATAAGGTTCTCAAACAAAATAAATAATCTGGTGTAAAGGGGGAGGGGCAAGTGATCTGAATAGACACTTTACAAATAAATGCTTATGCCAGCAAATCCATTTTAAAATGATCCGTCTCATTAGTCAACAGGAAAGAGTAAATCCAAGTTGCAATACGAGATGTCAGCCCAATTACAATACCTGTAACACCCCTCAAATTAGGTTAGGTGAAATAAATACTGCCAATGGAGTGGAGAAAACAGGAATTCCCGTACAATGTTGGTGAATGTGCAATTTTGCATAGCCAGACCACAGAACTTATGTCCCTTTCCAGTTCCCAAGGCCTACTGTGCACCACAACACCAGACCTGTCTACCAGCAGCTTAGTCCCGCCTTCTCTGGGCCCTTTCAGGGTTAGCTCCGCCCTTTCTGTAATAGCCCCGCCCCCAAGTAGGTAGGGAGAGGGTGGAATGATGGAGAGGTTGGGATGATGTACCCTCCACTGACACCTACCTCAGCAAGTCAGCTCTGCCCACCACACCACATAGGCTAGCTGCTCCTATCTGGGCCTCACCAGTAGGCTCTGCCTAAGGAGAGTCTATTGCAAAAGATACAAGGATCTGGAAGCTGGGAGACACAGAAACCTCAGGTCAACCTAGCGTGGGCGTGGTCATATGGCCAGCGTGAAGGGCGGGGTCTGGAGCCGGCTGCCCACTAGGTAGTTGGATCAGAACAATTGTCCCTAGGTGAGCTGCAGCCAAACACGGAAGGACAAGGATTTCCGTGAACATAAGGATTTGAGCAACTGGACCAGGATAACCTCATTTCTGGTAGTCACCTGCCAGGAAGACTGGGGCTAATGGTTTGGGGTAATCATTTAATTCCTTCAGCTTAGACCACCACAATTTGTTAAGAATATTTTTCGATACCTTATCAATTAGGGAGGAGGTTGAGTCAGATAGCAGCATGTAAAAGCACTTAGTACGGTAACAGTGATCATGAATTTGCTCCCAACCCAGGGCTAATAGGGAGTTTTCCATGTGAAATTTCATTTGATGAAATCGCATCACCAACTCTCTGGAAAGTATTCATCTTCACTGCACGGATATAGAAATGAAGGCTTAAAGAGGCAGTTTCCCCAAGGCTCTGCAGTAGGTAGGAGCAGAATCAATACATGAGCTCAGAGACTGGAGAGATGGCTCAGTGGTTAAGAAGACTTGCTGCTTTTTCAGAAGACTTGGGTTCAATTCCCAGCAGCTCACAACTGTAACTCCAGTCCAGGGATCTGACGCCCTCTTCTGGACACCAGTCAAGCAATATGCACATCCATAAGAATAAATAAAGCTTGAGAAAAAAAAACCCACACTTGGTCTTATGTTCCTCTGATCTGTAAGTAGACTTCTCCAATTGTCAGTGGTAAAGGCTTCGTTGCTTGTCTGTTTTTATGTTCCTATCCACTGTAGACTGATAATTTTGTAAAGGACTCTTCATATCTGGAACTTTTCTTCTCCCCGGTGTGGTGTCAGTAACAAAGTAGCTGGGAACTTTGATCATAGACCAGGCCACAGCTACCCACTCTAACGAAGTGCAAACTGTATAATATTAAGAGTTAACCATATAACATATTTTACGCCCATGGGCAGTGCAGAGGCCATGCAGTCTCTTTCCCCATGGGCAGTGCAGTCTCTTTCCTTGCTGTGTCTTGGTAGCCCCAATACTGACTGCAAAACAGAGTCCCAAACTAGCCCTGTATTGCCGTTAATGTTGGCACACATCTTTCCAATGATGCGTAAGTCAGGGTAAGGGCGTGATGGTGGGATGTAGCCATTTGCTATGTAGCAGCTCCCACCTTTCACAGATCCTGACAGGCGCTCTGGGCTATTCACACCTGGGAAGTGAGTGGGTTTACAGCTCTCGTGGATTTTTTTGTTTTTTGTTTTGTTTTCTATTGATATTAAGCTCAATACCCTACACCATGCACACTCTTACTCTGTGGCCCCTTCCTTGTCTCCTGCCTGGGAATGAGCCTGGCCTGCAGACTGTTGCTGTAAACCTCTCCCTATCCTTAAGGAGTTTAAAAGATGTCATCCTTTACCACACAGCTGCTGAATAGCTTCAGAGATTATCATGCAACGTGCCTTGGGTACTAGAG